TATATATATATATAAATTATCATTATAATAATTAAAATAGGATAAATAATATAAAGCAAATAGAGCCGTAGCTGAATCTCAGTACCCAATAATTTATTTTAACATTAAACGCTTATATATGATCTTAGCGCTTTTAGATATGATCAAACGTTTCGGCCATCGGTTTCGATCATCTTCAGTGTAAGGAAAAGTTAACGAATACAATTAAAACGTGATACAATTACAACGCAACTCGTAGAATGACGGTAGTATGCGAATCGATTGATTGGCCGTATTCGGATTGACAATCGTTCTGTGAATATAGTTGGAGCGGATTTAACAATGTCAAGTAGACAGTCAGTATATAAAATTATTAGTAAAATTAGTCGTAAAATTATCGATTAGTATAAACTATTACCTAGAGTCATTCAACAATAGAATGTGTGAATTCTGAACCTATTTGTCACGTAATTGAACGCTAATCTTGTGTCAAATTTAAAAGAATAAAATATAATTGTGTGGCTTATATTCTACAGTTTGTTTAATAAAAAGACGGTAAAAAGAAACGTACCTCAGATCAGCAATTATTGTCATATTGTGAGCAATTGGAACATATGAAATCACAGAATTGATAACTACTTAAGGATTTATAATGTGTGTATCCGTTGATGTATAGAAAGTGAGAGAAGAATGTAAAACTAGATGAGAAACGTTAAGGAGAATTAGGAAAGGAGGGGAGTACTATGGAAGGATATTTCATGGAGTGGGGAATTTATCCTATTATAAAATAATAGATGAGCCTTCAACTATTATTAATGATTGTTATAATAATTAAATATAATAATTAATAAAATTATATTATAATAATTATAATATTGTTATATTTTATGTACTCCAAACTGCTATCTGATAGCATAAGAATAAGTGGAAGAATAAGTATTTTCCTTTTATGAAACAGGAGTTCATAAATTAGAAAGCAATGACTTTAGATCACTGTCAAAAAATGAACATGAACTGAATTCTGTTTAACGACATAATTACCGACGCGATTAAACTGTTCAATTTTCAACTATTTTTAAAAAATGACTTCCTATTATTATAATGTGGATCAATGTAACACAAAGTATTTTGATAACCTTTAACTGTTATTATTTTTTCTCTTAAAGAACTCCCTCTAACATGCGATTACTCTTTTATTTTAATGTTAAAGAAAACTGTTTTAGGTAAAAAGTTTCTTGTAACTATAATTACACATAAATAGTGAAACAAAAAATTATATATATATATATAATTACTTAAATACAACATATCAATTGATATTTTACTGATATTTTATATCAGTTAAGGGTTAATTCTCTCGTGTTTCAAATCGCGAGCACAGCACGCGCAACGCGTCACAAGTATTTTTATTTTTAACGAGCATTGCAAAATCGTGCTGCTTCAGCGAAGTGGATGCGAGAAAGAGAGTTTACGCATGCGAGCGGGTGCTATGGCTTTGCAACGAAATCCGAAACGATGCGGGTTTATATTGGATTCCCCGGATTCTCTACTGCGCGTCGGGTTCGCGGATGAAAAGCGGGACGGCTGCCAAATTTGCCAGGAAAAATCCGCGGCGTCAAATCTGACGCCTTATCGACGCCGGTCGCGCGTTCAGCAAGATTGCGCGTTTTCCGTCTTCCTCCTTCGCTGTTTTTCCTCGGCTATTATCGTTCCTATACCTATATCGATGATTATTTATAGAGAGGACGAATATAACGCGATCAGTATTACTGAACTGTTGTCAACTGTTGTAGATATCTTTGTGCTTTTGCAATCCAGTGGTAACTTGCGTTTTTCACGTAATTTATCCTCGGACTGGAATCTGCCGTATATCGTTCAATGATATAGCGCGATATAGTCGGCTTCGGGAATGGCCTGGTATGCTTCTTTTCTATAATAACTCTCGGGTGTTTGTGGAAAACCAGGACAAGGTGAAGCGAGATATCCGAGCGAGACGAGATTGAAACCGAAGTTCACATTAAGAGGATGCTGAAGTGACGGGCGAACTCCGACGCGAAAGCGCCATCATTTCGATGGTACTAAAAATGAAATGACATTATCGGCGCAGCCTACGGACCTATGCCGCGTAGGTCCGTGTGTACGCATTTGTTTGTAGTGGTGACTCACTACACTGACGTGTGGTCTGTGTACGTGTGT